AGAGAGAGAGAGAGAGAGAGAGAGAGAGAGAGAGAGAGAGAGAGAGAGAGAGAATGGGGGGGTTCTACCCGATTTTTTAAGAGACACCGAGGTAATAGGAAATGAACATCACAAATGGAACTGAAAGGGAAAAAAAAAAGACAACTGATGCATCTACTGACACTAACACAGAACGGCATACAGTCTTACACCCACGCACCCACAGACAAAAGAACCTCCTGATGAGCACTACCATCTTCACCCGAATAGAACGCCCGGTCATTATTGCTGCATCTGGACTGAAAAGTGCCCCAAATACAGCTATGATGACCGGGCGCTCTATTCGGGTGAAGACGGTAGTGAAAGTCTGACGAAATTGTCTGTCACAGTCACCCTTCTTTTGTGGTGTCACCTGAATAGAACGCCCGGTCAGCATAGATGTATTTTGGGCACTTTTCAGTCCAGATGCTGACCGGCGTTCTATTTACCGAAATGAACAACACATGCACATGCACACACACACACACACACACACACACACACACACACACACACACACACACACACACTCTGCAGCGTTTGCATGACCAGCAACCACTCTGAGCACAAGTGCGGCTGATCAGCTTCTGCTTCCCGCATCTGGTCCACCCAGCTCTCACCCCCCTGACCCGCCCCTCTCTCATCTACCTACCCCTGCTTGCTCCCCTTCCCCAAGTGACAATGACCCGTCTTCTGATTACCTGATGGAGCCCCCGATTGAAGATAATTTCTCTTCGGTGCGCATACTAGAGCCAATTGATGAAGACCGCAACGAGTCTCTGCTACCTGTGCAATCTGCAGAATTGAACGAATCTCCCTGTGCCGTGAATGAATCTCCTGTGCGCAACCTGCGGAATCGGACGATGTCATAGCGCTACAGCGAGGCCAGGCCGCTGTGGGTACTATGCCATTAATGTATGTCTCCTTGCTTATAATTGTAACCCTTATACTGTTTCTGATTTCGCCGACATTGTCCACTGGATAGAAGAAGAGCACCATGCCGTCTTCCCACAGGACGGCAGTGCTGCAACTGGTGTGGACATAGAAGTCCTGTCTGTGGCAGTTATGGGTAGGTGACTACAATTCCTGCCTGCTCCACAAAACCACGTGCCATGCATGGATCCGAAGATTCGGGCATATATCTTACACCGTCCAGGTCATTTCAGTGCTCTTACCTTTGTGGATAATTTATGGACCCTACTATGGGACAATGGCGGTAGGGTGCACACAGCCCGAAGTATTTAACTCTTTCTATCACCAAATGGTGGAGGATCACTTGGTCTGGCTCGTCCATCAGGAACAGCATGTCAATGAGCACTTGCAAGCACTGCACCCCCGAGAGCAATCCGGCTGATTCTACACAAACGGTGAAGGGCCCTCTCCAGAGGATCGTGGCTGTGCCCTCCCTTCGTGTTGTCGCATGGGTTGGCGTGTACACGTCATAGCCTTTGCTCCGAACACTATGAACTTACGAAGGGATGGTCGCTGCTAGCCTCCCCCACGAAAACTGTGATCCCCTGTCTTGTGCTCATCCCC